GGAACCTGTCCTGTTAAACCGCTGTATGGTCTTGGCCACCGTGCTGCAGCTCAGTTTCAGGGTCTTGGCAATCTTCTTGTAGCCTAGGCCATCTTTATGTAGAGCAACAATTCTTTTTTTCAGATCCTCAGAGAGTTCTTTGCCATGAGGTGCCATGTTGAACTTCCAGTGACCAGTATGAGAGAGTGAGAGCGATAACACCAAATTTAACACACCTGCTCCCCATTCACACCCGAGACCTTGCAACACGAACGAGTCACATGACACCGGGGAGGGAAAATGGCTAATAATGCCCAATTTGGACAATTTCACTTAGGGGTGTACTCACTTTTGTTGCCAGCGGTTTAGACATTAATGGCTGTGTGTTGTTATTTTGAGGGGACAGCAAATTTACACTGTTATACAAGCGGTATACTCACTACTTTACATTGTAGCAAAGTGTCATTTCTTCAGTGTTGTCACATGAAAAGATATCATAAAATATTTACAAAATGTGAGGGGTGTACTCACTTCTGTGACATACTGTATAAGAAATAACAGTGATAGTTCTGTTCTTCCCATGCTGTGCAACAAGTACTTTGCTATCGCTTTGTGCACTGATTACCTGTGTGCTCACCTGACTGTTTATTTGACTGTGGTCAAATGTATCATGGCAAACAATTGTGAAATGTTCCAGGAATGCCATTGTGGAGTGTCAACTCATGCTTTAAAATGTTAGTTGTGTTTTCACTTGTTAGCAATGTCAAAAGAGGAGGCTTTTTTTCGCTTAACCCTGCAGTGGTTGGGAGCAAGTCTAGCAGCTTTGCAAAGTCTGTAGGCATCCCCAAACAGGATCGCAAGTGCCTAGAACCCTCCTTGAAGTTTGCAGCAGGGAGCACTCCACGTTGCAGTTGATGCTGGCAATTTAGTTAATTCTTAACTAGCAGAGGTGTCGGCCCTAGTGCTGTTGAAAGTATTTCTGTATTTTAAAAGTACGTGAAGTAACGAATGCATTCTCATCTGATTGCCCATTATTACACAATGCCCAGCCTTTGTGTGAGTGTGGCCAGAGCTAATACAGGGTGTACCATGTGTTCTCTGTTTGTGCTTTTGCACAGGCCCATTTATCATTGGAATTACAAAGGGAGAGCCATCTGAAGCAGATACTCCTTATCCAAGAGCGGTGGAAAAGAGCCAGAAGAGAAGAGAGGCTAAAACTGCAACAGACTCTGGAGAAGGATAGTGCTGCCCACCTAGCAGTCGCCTGTAAACCATCAGCTGAGGAGTCTGATGACCAACATGTGGCAGCCCCTGCTAGTCTCAAAGTCAACCCCTCCCCAGAGAAAGATGTGCCGGCAATCCAGGGTGTCTTGGACAGGGACCCAGATACGCTACTGTTTCTGCTTCAGAAAAGAAAGGAACCACCAGAAGCCTGTGTAAGAGCCAAAACTCCAAAAGACGACAAGACAAAAGTGGAGGAGCAGGCTACCAGAATTGCATTTCTAGAGCAGCATGTGGAATTTCTGCTAGCTGAAAACGAGCGATTGCGGCAAGAAAACAAGCAGCTGAGAGCCGAGAAGTCCAGGCTCCTGAAATCCCCCCTGGAAAAGGAGCTCGACGTCGATGCTGACTTTGTGGAGAAGTCAGAGTTGTGGGGGCTGCAGCCCCATCCAGAAACTGCTGCTACATCGACTTCAGCATGGCAGAAATTTACCACCAATGCAGGGAAGGCCAAGGACATTCCAATCCCCAATCTGCCCCCGCTGGACATTCCGTCCCCTGAGCTCCCTCTCCTGGAGCTCTCAGAGGATATGCTGAAAGGACTCATGAACAGCTAAGAGGAGAGCACAGAGTATGCTCGCTTGTAGCTCAACAACATCCAAAAAGGGAAACCACCGGTACAGCTGAGATCCAAGGGCAGAAATGTCAGCTGCGACCCTAGCAAGGGAGAAAACCTTCGTGACGCTGTCACTGTGGAAAATATGCATGGCGTTGGATTGCTCCATCAGAGCTTGCTGTTTACCATCGTTGGTAACAGTTAAGCACTCTTTTCTTCTTCAAGCCAAATGACTGAGGGGAGATCCGAGTCACACGATTCTGCAGGGCTTTGGGGTATGCCGTGTGAAACAAGTCTCTTTAATGCCATAGAACGATGCAATGCCGAAGTGATTCAGGCCAGAGGATGTCTGTCTTGGCAGTGGAAGAACTTTCTGTAATTGCTTGTTGGCGTCATTATGCACAAAAACTTGTCAGAAGATGGGATGCCTCTGTTCCTGGCAGGATGGATCTATGTGCCACACTTCCATGCTCCTAACCTAAAATGTAATGTCAGCCAATCAGGAGAGATGCTAAATTTCCATTTTCTTTCAAGGAACCAAATTTAGTTCTGCTGAAATTTTCGATTTGTTTACATAATCAGGGTGCTTCATAATGTCTGTCTTCTATACAAGAAACTATGAGGCAATGTTTCCGATGAATATGCAAGGAAGAACAGTCCTTGTTGCATGAGTGGAAGTGATGATAGCTGCCAGAAAATAAAATGTTTCAGGTCTGTTTTGATTGTTTTACTTATTCATTTGAATATATACATTTCCAATACTAAGTTACGCATTGGCCTGTATAACCCAGTATACTTGGCAGAGGTGTATCAAAGCTTTGGGCAGAAGTCTCTCTTGGTGGAGCGAAGTCTCTGCTTGAAATTCCCCTGACTGGAGATGTCAGTTGTTGAGCCAGTGGCCGCACTTCTGTGGTCCTAGAGCGACACTTCCACTTCCGGCATTATACATGAAACCTTTAGCACTGAGGCGAGCATGTGGGAAGGTGCAGAAACACCCACTGGTACCCGCTACAGCTTGGGGAACAGGGGCTTTTACTTTCCTTCAGCAGCGGGAAAGAACCAGTCTCGGCCTTGTAAGGCTTGTAGGCGTGAGGCAACGGAGAGCGTGGCACTCTTGACTATTTTTTCCCTGCCTGAGAAGCTCAGCAAAAAATTTGAAGCTGTTAGGAATGAACATGTCCTATATCTGTGGTTTGTAATTTTTGTGAACTGCCCAGAGAGCCTCGGCTAGTGGGTGGTAAATAAATCAGTATAAAAGAGACAAAATAAAAATGGGGGAGAATAAAGAGGCACAGACTCTTGTATCTGCAGTTCTTTTTTTTTTTTACCTCGCCAAGGCTTTGAGCCCCCCCACCCCACAGGCTGCTGTGTTTTTCTCCCCTCCCCGAGTCTGTGTATCTTTTTTCCCTTCATGGTTAACACTGTGGCAGAGGGGACAATCCCCATTCAGGGATTCCGAATGAGGCCACAGACCTAAAATGAATAGGTACTCCTGGAAGACAGCACTGATGTACTTGCTACTCGCGGGCGGTGGGGGTGTTGGCATATTTAAGCCAGCCATGGTGATCAGTTGGGTGCCCCATGGGGTGATCTGTACAAAACACACTGCATAGCTTCTTCGCAGGCTGGTGTACCATGTTGTGCGAACTTGCTAAATAATTAAGGTCAGTTTAGATCATTCCTAAACTAGTAATATAATTTGGAGAAAGTTCATACCTTATACCACATACGTCAAGGGATGCGGCCGACACTCTGTGTAGCAGTCCTAATACGGAAAGGCTCATTGAGCCCACCCTCCAGCCCACCCTTTTCATTTCAGTAAACCGCATTTTAGATGTCTCTGAAATACGTGCTCTTAGGTTTCTCTGTGTGCACGGCAGGAGTGAAGGTACATGCTCGTTCCTCTACCATGTGATGAGCTTCTCCACCAGGTATCACCAGTGGAAGAACAGGCACGGATCTTCTGTAGAATTGTGTGCTTCTTAGTTAACTATGTTGCACCTGACCGAGGCTGGATTCATGCATCATGACAAACAATCCTGTGTACTTTCAATCATGTACTTTTTTGTGTGTGACTGTGTCTTGAGAAATGATCAGGTTCATCATGGTAATTCTCTTCCTGCCCACCAGTTTCTTGCCTCTCAGTTCTCCAGGAGGAACTGTGGGTAAAAATGATAGCCGCAATCGCTAGCTAATCTCACCTGCCTGTCCAGCAATCTGCTGAATTAACAGAGGTCGTGCTTTGGAGAAGATGGAGGAACTGGTCAGGCACCCTTCCCTCCCGCTTCAGGAGGAGCCAATGGAGCAGGAGGGACTGTGCACTCCCCACTCAAGCGGAAGTGGGGAACCGGCTAGGCAGTGCTGCAGAAGAACGCTGGGTCCGCTTCCATGAGCAAAAGCTCATGCGTGAGCAGCAGGGTGCGGAAGTGCGCAACGGCAGTGCCCAGTGGAGGAGCTCCCCATGCTGCTGCCCTCCGGGCTTGCCAGAGAAGCGCCCCCAACTCAGTGCCTGCTTTGAGGCTGCTGGTGTGGAAACGGCTCTTCAGCAAAGCGAGAAGGGGAGACTGTGGTCCCCCCCCCCCCCCGCTGCTGCTGCGCGGCTGCACAAAGGCATGCGTGGCAGGAGCAGGAGGCTCCTGGGTGGTGGTGGTGGTGAGAGGTGGGCAGCAGAGCGCTCTCTCTGGCAAGCCAGAGCGAGAAGGCTGGCAGCCCGGGCACGGGTGGCACACAGCACCCATCCTGTCCTAGGCCAGGTTGCTTCTGCCCTGCTGCCCATGCGAGAAGGGCAGAGGCACAGGGGGCTGCAGCGTGGCACATAACCCGAGCTGGCACCGCTGCCCAGTGGCTTCTCCGTGCTCCTGCAGGAGCAGCAAGGGGGTGCTGAGGGCCGAGCCGGATGGCAGCTGTTACTCATGCTGTTTGGCTTGCTCCATCGCAAGAGTGGCAACCGGCCCTCCTGACAAGTGGCTCTGCGGTTCTGCCTTCGCAACTGCACTGAGTTGTGTCTTCCAGTTTGGGCAGCACAAGAACCAACCATGGCCCTGAGAAACCATAGAGCGGCCATTGCCTGTTTGTGGTTGCTCAAAGCCAAATGTACCAACCACACTGAAATACAACAGAACATGACGGACCAAAGAAGGAAAACTAGCAAGCACATACTATGGCGTGTGCTGTGCTCCTGCCCTGCCTTCAAGAATTTAAAGAGGGATGTGACAGAGAGGGATGTGACAGAGAAAGGAAGCCTATTTCCAGCTAGGAATCCATTCTTCATGAACAATCCTATCTATCTATCTATCTATCTATCTATCTATCTATCTATCTATCTAGCTATCTATCTATCTAGGATATTTGTATGCCATCCATTGCAAAAGCCTCAGGACGGCTTACACAAATAAGCATAATAATAATAAGCATTATACTAAGCTTAAGCATTATTGATATACACAGAAACAGTGTCACCCTATAGCAGAGTCAGAGCTTGGCTGGAATGAATATTTTTCAATAGTGCAGTGATCATGCAGAACTAGAAAAACTAAGCTTTTTTGTCTAATTCCCAGCTAGTAGTCAGAGGAGTGTCTCCTGTCCTATCAAATACCATCTACTGAGAAATCTTTTACTTTATTTTTCTGATTCTGTTGTTTTTAAGAGGTAAATCCTCCCATTAACTACACTGTATGACAAAATACAGATTGCTTTTCCTGAAGCCGCCACTCAAATGCAGCATTTATCTCCAACTTTTAGTGGTATGAGAAGGGGCCAGTCTCCACCTACTCAGCATTTTAAACTCCAATCCCTTGCTAAAGCTACTTAAGTAGGAGGCTAAACCTGTTTGCTGTTCTAATGAATTCCACATGCTTGTTTCCCCCAGCTGAGCCTATGAATATTGCTTGGGTCAGATTCCAGAGAGCTCTCAGGGAACAGTTTGATCACTTAAAACACAGGTACCTTTATCCCTGCAAAATGCTGCAGTGCCTGCTATCAAGGCTTCACTTTAACCACCTGTTATTTTGAAAAATTATTTTAACTTTTACTAACATGTAAGGGTTGGGGTTTTTTTTTTTTTTACTCACATGCAAGGAAAATACTCTTTCCATGGATGGTGTTGTTATTCTTTTAAAATAATCTTCCTCCACAGAATGGCTGTATTTAATCAGCTTGAACCTATACATAAGAATAGTGACTGGAAGCAAACACCATTTAACCAAAATTTGATTTAGCTGCAATTCAAAACATTTAATGGTTAACGAAGCACTAAAGACAAGACCCATCTATAGCTAAACTTGCTAGATATATTTAAGACTTGTTCCTCTCTCAAGTTATTATACAAATAGTGCCATCTGGTGGGCACTTTTCTAAAACAACACATTATGGTTGGCTAAACAGCAAAATGTTAAAGAACATTGCATAAAAAAAGCTTGTTGAACGTACATGGGCATTAAGACTGCAGTATTCAATACTATATTCCAAGTGAAAGCAAAATTCATATTAATATAAGAGCTATACTTTCCTCCAGTAGCAAACTAGTTGTGTACATGCACAAAAATTAAGGAATTTTATTTTGCTCACTATGTATACATTAAGTTTGCACGTTTACACAAAACAAAATCCAGGAGCTGCAGGTTTTCAGCAGTTTACAGAATTTTACTGCAATACCACATTATCTCAAGTTCATATTTACCTTGACCCATAAAGGCTGGCTTTTACTGAGACATGGTATTGAGAACAACACACTCCCTAATCAGAGCTACATTATACTCTTGAGATTTTCCATCGTTTTGGCAAGCAGTTCTGTGTGCTTACATAGAAACCTAAAATGTCTCACCTATGGCTTGATTTCATTGGGCTGGCATGCAGAGCTCGCTTATGCAATGTGTCTTGCTGCAGACCGACCATCAGCCACAGCTTCCCTGTTTATTTTTCCATGGCTCAACAGAACTTGACAGGGGGAAAAAAATCTTCATACACAGTGGAAAGCAGTTTCCAAATGTAATGTCCTCCGGTGTTTTGTTTTTTGGACTATAACTCCTAGCATTGTTATGGTAACTAGGGCTGATGGAGTGGAATTTCTGGAGATCGGTTTGGAGAAATAAGGCAAGCTAAGATTTTCAGGGTGCTGGAGTAGATCTCTGTGGGAAAGGGGAGCAGAGAGTAGATCTAGCTTAAATCCAGATCTTTTCACACTGGTGAATGTTGAGGAACCATTGTGTGTCTACCATCAAAGCCTGCCTTGATTCGAAGTTATAGGACTTAGAATCTGTTCAGAGTCTGGAAAGGCTTCTTGGCACCTACCATTATCCCATATGAATCACACGAATTTCTTGTAATACAGTTGAAGTGACACACACACACACACACACACGAACCACAAGTAGGACATGGGTGTAACACTACTCCCCTGCTCATGTACCCCAGCAGTTGGTGTACAGATGTGCCATGCCTGATTCTGGAAATGGCATTATAACAATAAAGACTACTGACCATTTATTGGCTTATCCTCCAGGAATTTGTCCAGTCCCTTTTAAAGTTATCCATATTGGTGGTGCTCACAACATCTTACGAAAACAAATTCAATCATTCATGCACTGTGTGAGATGCATGAACGGCTGAATGCTTCCCCCTTCTGATGTTCTGAATCTCTCGTGAAACCTGTTCATGGAAGGACCCCGAGAGGGAAAAATATCTTTCTATGCATGTTTCCCATACCATACATACTCTT